CTGTTGCACTTCTGGATGAAGTTCTGCTCATGAGAAATCCAGACTATACAGGTTCCACACGATGGAATTGATATACCACATAAAATATCTCAATTGGTTGCACAGTTTTGGGCCTGTATGCATTTGCTTTTCCTCAGATATCTGCTGAACAAAAGAGGGAAACTCTCAGGATTTGAAAGATACACATGGTGTTGGGGATATTGGCCCAATGCCATCCCAGTTCTCTCATCACGTGTAGCAAGCCAACTGATCAGAATTGGGCCAAAACAGTAGTTGTTAATGCTGAGGAACCAAATGCCAATCATGCAGGTTGCTTATTCCTGATGTTCCATGTGTGCCTTCCCCCTTCTAAAAAAATAAATAAATCCTATCTGAATTTGGGTCTAGCCTTAGAACAAAGAAGGAAACAAGGTTGCTTGAGCAAAACTAAATTATATCAGGTTCTCCATTGTTGGCTTTTAGACAAAGTATTTTGCACCTGGTTGAGCTACATAATGATCAAGTGTGTGGTGATGCTTCTGCCATTTATTCCAGAGGGGCAGGGGGGTGGAGGCAGAATAGAAATAGGAATTCCAAGGAAAAACAAGGTGGGCCCCCAAATTCCATAATCAGAAGCTTGGAATGACATGTAATTATCACAAAATGTATGTGCACAAGTGTGTTTGTACTCATTGCCCTAAATAATAGAAAATAGGAAAAGATAGCTGCTGTTTGTTTATTTATTTTATTCCATTTTGATGCTGCCCGATTCCAGCCGCTTCTGGGTGGCTCACGAAGTAAAAAATAGCATAAATAAGAATACAATAAAATTAATCCCAAAAAAGAATTACAAAATAGTTATAAGATGGCAATCCAGACAACACATCAATCAGAGAGAGGTCATCCCAAAGCCTGGGAGGAGAGCCAGGTTTTTAAAGCCTTTCGGAACATCATCAGGTGGGAGCCATACGGATCTCGGGGGTGATCTCATTCCAAAGGGCATACGTCAGTACAGAGAATGCGTGCTTGAAAGATGACATTGTTTAGTTGAGGGGACCTAGAACATGTCCACTCTGCCAGATCATACTGGACAGGCAGAAACTGTGGAAGACAAGCGGTCCTGTAAATAGCCATGCCCTATGCCATGTAGGGCTTCATAGCTTATTACCTGTATCTATTACCTATAATTTACCTATGGGATCACCTATCTCCAGTTGTTTCTCCCCCTTCCCCCCATATATGTGGGCAGAGTGAGTATGTTCCAGGTCCTCTCAATTAAACATTGTAATCTTGTGAGACTGAGGAAGCGTGCCTTGTCTGTAGTGGCACCTACCCTCTAGAATAGCATCCCCCAGAAATACATATGGCACCCACTCTCCTGGGCTTCCAGAAGGCACTTAAGAACTGGCTCTGTTTCCAGGCTGGCGGTTAATGTGTGTATGGAGCCCTTGTCATGTTTTTTATTGTTACAGTTGCTTTTTAGCCTGGACTGTATGTTTTGCTGTCATGTTTTTAACTGTTTTAATTTTATATTTTGATGTTGTAAGTTGCCCAGAATGCTTTGGAATGGGCAGTCATGATAAATCTTAATAACAACAATGGCCAGAACCTTGAATCATATGCAGAAGCACACTGGTAACCAGTGCAACTCAGAGCAAGAGTGTCATGTCACCACTGCCTGTGCTGCTGCACTCTGGACCAGTTGAAGGTTCCAAGTGATCTTCAAGGGCAGTTCCATATAGACCACATTGCAGTAGTTAGAGCCATGAGGTGACAAGGGTGTTGGTGACCTTCTGGAGGTCTGATCCAGGAAGGGATGTAACTGGCGCACCAAATGGAGTTATGCGAAGGCCCTCTTGGCCACAACAGCTACCTGCTTTGAGTAGGAGCTGTGAGTCCAAGCTGACCCCCAAGTTGCACACCATCCTGATTGGGGAAGTACAATCCCATCCAGCAGTAAAGGTGGAAAATCCCCAGACCTAGGTAGTCCCAGCAACCACAGCCACTCAGTCTTGGCAGGATTGAGCCAGTGTCAGTTCCTCCCCATCCAGGCTCACCTCAGCCTGCAGGCACTGGCACAGAACCTCAACAGCCTCACTTGTGCAGCCTGGGGTTGAGATGTACAATTGGGTATCATCAATATACTGATAATACCAGATTCCAAACTGGTGGATAACCTCACCCAGTGGTTTCATGTAGAAGCTGAGAGTGGAGAGAGGAGGGATCTGGGGAACAATCTCCAACCCCACCCCCGCCTACATTGACTGGAATCAGCCAAGAAGGAAGGAAGAAAACCCCTGCAACATTGTGCCTCCCACTCCCAACCCCCCACAGCTAGTCCAGAAGGATACCATGCTCAACAGTATCCAAAGCTGCTGAGAAATCAGGGAGCACAAGGGTGGATGCAACACCCTCATCCTGACTCTGCCACAGGTTATTGACAAGCACAACCAAGGCTGTCTCTGTACTGAATCCCAGCTGAAATAATCCACTTCCTCCAGGGTCCTCTGTAACTGCAGCCCAACCAACCTAGCAGATCGACCCTAAAAAAGGAAGGTTTATTTATTTAATTTATTTATTTATTAAATTTCTCCCCGCCCATCTCCCCCCAATGGGGGACTCTGGTTGGAGATAGGGAAGTAGTTGTCCAAAACAGTTGGGTCCAGGGATGGTCTCTTGAGAAGGGGAAACACCACCATCCTCCCTCAAGGCTACTAAGCACCACCACCTTCTTCAAGGAGACCAACACCATTGCATAGACCCAACTATAGGTCACCTCTGTGGCTACCTTAACAAGCCAGGAAGGGCAGGGCTCCAGCAAGTAGGTGGCTGTAGACTTCCTCAAGAGTCACTGACTCAAACACATCCCAGATCACACCACCAGAGTATGCCCCTGGTGCCTCAGTTGGGCCTGCCTAGGCGGAGTCCAATCTGGTCCATATCTGAGAGACTTTATCCATTGCATAGCCAGAATATTCCTCACGGTGGCCTGCAAATGGTCCTGTGGCCCATCCCTACCTAGCAAGGACCAGGTCACATTAAAAAGGACCACTGGGCAGCTGTTCGTCCATGCAAGAAGGATGGAGAAATAATGATTGCTTTGCCACCTATATCACTGCAAGGTAATCCCTAATATGGGCTCTTACCTGTCATTGGTCAGATTTGCTTTGAGACTCCAATGGTGCTCCAGGCTGTTGCTTGCTAATGTTATTGTTGTGGGAAAACTTGGAGGAGGGAGTGATATATAGGCCCTTGGAGGAAAAATGGATAACAGTCTAACAAACCAGCAGGACTATGGGCTGATTCAGATAAGACATCTTCTACACAGGAGCTGAATCAACTCCCAACTATTGCCAGGGTTCTCTGTATTCTGTAATGTGAGCAGGTAACCTGGATCCCTCCATTTTTATTTGGATTCAAAGGGTGTTTAAGAACACACAGAGAATGTGTCTGTAGTACCTCTTGACTGCTCCTTAAAGCAGCTTTCCTGGAATGGAATGGCTGTCCTCCGCAGATACAGCATGATCCCAGGAAAAGTCATGTTTAGTTTAAATTGTTGTGGATGGGTGCTATGTGTGAACTCAAAGCACCTTTTCCCCCTTTCGATCCAAATATTTATTTATTTGCCCTTCTTCCAGTCCACTTGCTCTTGGTCAAAGAGACCAACATCCTAAGTAAAATGATAACAGTGAAAAGCACTTAAAACATCACAATAAATTAAAAATAACAACAATAAGCAGGCAGTACAATTCCTAAATTGCAACTTTAAGACCCTGGGTCATAGTCTTAAAACCACAGATTCTTTAGTCTGCACAACCCTGGTTTCTTATCCTTGGCTAAGGGTCATAAGCTATGCTTGTCGAAATCACATAAGCCTGAGAGAGAATTTCAAATCTAAAGAACATCCTTTCCCCTCCCTTGATTGAAAAGAAAATGAAATTGTTAAAACTAAAAAAAAAAAGTTGAATAAGCAGTGTGAAATAGAACAAATGTATTCATTACCAGGATCTTTGTAGGTCACAGAATGGCTTTTCTAGGCCAGAATTGGGGCTCGAGGCATTCTGGCAACCCTCCCTATCACATACATCCAGAACCACCTTTCCTTGTCTGTTTCTAGCAATGTGCTGATACCTCCATTAAGCCTTCTCATGGCCCCTGTGATTGTTACTTAGTTCAGATATTTATCTCTTACTCTGTTTAAGGAATGACATTATCAAGAAAATCATACAACCACCTAAACATTATTGTACAATAAAACTAAATTTATACATTTTGTAGGAGCAAAGCCATCTGAAACAAAAAAAAGGTAAATTCCCCCAAGTCAAGCTTGAGTCCTGGTACAATAGAGAAATAGTTTGCCAATGCCATCTTCCAGGATGTATTTCAACTTCCTAGTCTAGCCTATGCTATAGCCTCCTGGTGGTCTTTCATCTGTTAACTAGGTCTGACACTGCTAAGGTCAATTAGGTGGTGTCGCATGATTGAGGATGTTTGAAATGGTACCTTTATCCTAATTCAGCAACTTTTGGAAATGTTAGGAAGTTGTACCCTGCTCTCAGCTCCATAGCCAGCACATTGAGGTGGTGGTTGGGGGTGATGGGAGCTGTAATCCAGCACCTGGGGAGGGAGCAGATAGGAATTGTTGTGTTATACTGAAAGGCAGAGCTTCATGTAGTCCAATGGAAGACAAAGTTAGAATCGGGACAACTTCCTTGGGTGGATATGTTCTCTAGTCTCCTTGGTACAACAAAAAATCTATTTCTTTAGGCTACCCACCATATTTCTGGTAGGAGAGCATGGAGGAAGATTTGGGAACTGACCTCATGTTTGGGTGGGAGGAGCAACTTGAGATTCTCAACTTCACATACACCTGATATTGTCTCCTCCTTTGGATTTGATTTTTTTTTTTAGATTTTTTAATCCCATCTTTATTATTTTTTATAAATATCTTTTGAGAAAGGTTTGCTGAGAAGATTGGCCACCACTGCCTTAACTCTTTGGATTTTTGTTGCTCTTTTTAGATCTTGATGACTTGAAGTGTGCCCCCTTTGGAAGTTATAGCAATGGCTCTGTTCTGAGTAGCTTTCCAAGCTATGATTGGTCTGATAAAGAAGATGCCTATCAGAGCAGAAAGTCTATCCCCTTCTCCCTTCCTGCAGGAAATGGATCCTCCCTAGCTACCTCTGTACTCCAGAAGAAGGAGACATTTTTTGGCAGCTCTGAAAATATCACTGTGACCACCGTTTCCAAGGTAACAACCTTTGCTAATGAGGATGCTCTCCAAGATGTGAAGTTCTCATCCTTTGCAAACTTCAGAGATTCCAGTCCTCACTCAGTGGATCAAAGTGATGATGATATTGAAGACTTTGGAGAGTTTGCCAGACCACTGGGCGATGGCTGTGAGAGGCCAACCACAGGTGGACCTCAAGAGACTGACTCTGCCCCTGTTTCCTTAGAAGCCGGAAAAGAAGTTCTTGATGACTTTGGCGAGTTTCAGAGTGAAAAGCCAAAGATCAGCAAATTTGACTTTTTACTGGCAACTTCCCAAGGGAAAATGAAATCCAGTGAAGAAATGATCAAAAGTGAGCTAGCAACTTTTGACCTCTCTGTTCAAGGTGAGAATCCACACTAATATTCTGGTTGTTATTATAGTTAGTTTGTGATTGGTTATGCGTCCTTCTAAGTCTCACCTAGTGCTGGAGGTGGAGGGAATCCAGGTTGCCTCTGGAATATTTTATGATTTGATTTCTAAGGCTGCCCACTTGCCAACAACTCTGGGCAGAGAGAGAACAAACAGGCACAGGTCAGAAATTAAAGTGAGAGGTTGCAACAGAATGATGGAGCCATCTTAAAGTATTAATTATGTATTAATTTTAGCTGCTTTTTGTTCAGAAGCTTGAGGCAGCATGCATAGTACTCCATCCTCTTATTTTTAAAGTATGTTGGACTGAAAGAGAGTGACAAGCCTAAAATCAGTCAGTGAGCTTCTGTGGCTGAAGGTGGACTAGAGCCTCTTGGTTTCTAGAACAAGGCCTTCAACAATACACCACACTGGCTCTCTTTGGATTTGGATACAGAAGGCCTTAAAAAGATTTCCAGTGCCAAGCAGAACCACCATCTGCCCATTTTAGTCATATGAACTTGAGTGCCATTCAATTTAATCAGTTAATTAAAAAAATAGTTTAGGTGCTACAAGTAACTAAATGAAAGAAGAGTGAGAATTTTTTGAATACACTGCTTTCAAAAGGTATTATTTTTAATTTACTACCATTTTACTACATTTCAAGGTGTCCTCTCTCTTCTGTCAAAGAGGAGAAACTCTTCTGAGATGAATGGTATAATATATCCACAGATCATCTAAATATTAACAGATCCCGTTAGCTTCTCAACTGTTTGTTTTCCTGATGTACAAGAAATGTAATTGATTCTGTTGAATTCAATCTGGTAGATAAATCTTAGTGGATCGATTGTATGCCAGCCCCAGTTTGAGTTCATTGATCAGTTCGATGATCGAACTGATGTAATTTATATATGAAAAAAGCGGTAGTTTTAATGGGAAAAATTGGGTTTTGAGGACTACCAAAGGGACATGAGTTTTTGTTTTGTGCTTTTGAGTCGGTTTTGGACTCCTGGCAACTGCCTGGACTAGTCCCTGCAGTTTTCTTGGCAAGGTTTTTC